GGAAGTAGGATTGCCCAACCTTCCTTCCGAGGAGTGGCTGGTGGGTTTGAACCGCCAGCCGTCTGGTTAGCAGGGAAGTGTCTTAGCCACTATGCTACCAGAGCTCCCGAAAACTTCATTAGTTTCTACATAAAAGTTCTGGGAATCTTGATTCAGTTTAGTGGTATTCATGTTCAGAATATCATAGTCCTTCTCATAAGTCCTGTATGGAAATATTTTGGTCAAGTATTTTCAGCACATCAGCTAAGTGAAAACTTGTCTATAGCTGGCAAAACTTAATATGGCCGTGGTTAGCTTACAATATTTCTCTAAAAATGAAAGACCTGATGGAAATTAATTACAGAATTAATACAGAGCGAATAGAGTCGGTTCAAAAAGACTTTAGTCAAAAATAACTTTAAACATAATTGTTAACTTTATTTTCAAAGATCTTTAGATATAGCACATAATAATCTTGAGACAGAATAGCACATAATCAGGATATACCAAGAAAATACCAAGATTATTAAGTGTCTAAACAGCTGAATAGTAATAATAATAAAGCTCCATGGAAAACAATGTGAATTACCCATTAAAACCATCAGCTTTGATGATGCTAGATTCAAAATAAATGAAGCTGCAACCAAGTTAGCAATTAAAAAATAATAAAATTATGACATAATAGTGTATGCTTGTTGTCTCATATGAGGCAAAAACATAAGATGAAATGCTTAACACATAGATTTTCAACCTGGAGGAAATCAAGCACTTCTTGATTTGATAACGCATTTCATGTAATTTATAACATATTAGATAAACCTTTATAGCACTTTTTATGAAACAGAAACATCCTTTCTGGCTTTCCATCAGATCTCTTAGTTGTCAGGAGTTTATGATAGGTAGGTCACTGAGAAACAATAAAGTTATTTAACGAAAAATCTTAAAGGTAAAACATCAGCTTAAAAAACAAAACAAAAAATCATGGGGCTTTATTTTTGATTCAGGAATTTATTTCACTGACAGGATGAAGCCCTGCCTTTGAGGCACATTACACAAAGAATAAATTATCTCTTCGGCCCAGTAACTGAAGAAAATGTTATCTTAACAGCAAGAAAACCAATCCTTTACTATACGATATTTATAAAGCTTTTAAAAATACTTACAAATTAACCATAAAACTTTTAGCCAGACAGATAACAACTTTGACTATATCAGATAAATTCTCTTTTTAATAAACTTTTAAAACCTTGTCTTTTTGTTGTATGTCTCTTATAGAATGACCTTTTAAGTGGCAATAATGAACACCCTCATCGGAAGGCATATATAGATAGATAGTTGTTTTGGTTAGGTGCCATCGAGTCAGTTTCAATTCATAGTAACCATATGTACAACAGAACGAAGTGCTGCCCGCATTTATGCCATCTTCACAATTGTTGCCATGCTCATTGTCACAGCCACTGTGCCAATCCATAGATATATAGAGATCGATCTTCTCTGTGGCTTAAAAAGTAAAAGTACATAAACTTAAATTACATTAAAAAAAAACAAACCTGACTGCCATCGAGTTGTTTCCAACTCATAGCAACCCCCGTTGCGTTTCCGAAGCTGTAAATCTTTATGGAAGTAAATCGCCCCATCTTCCTTACATGGAGTGGCTGGTGGGTTAATTATAATGGTTATTTATTCATTTTTATATTAGTAGGTTACCTAAAGATCTTAGAAATTATTTTAAACCTGTGTACCATAAAACATAAGTAGCATTGAAAGTATCTGGCTAGAGGTGGAAACATTTCCGCAGACCATTTCAGGTGTGTCTCATTTTGATTCCTATCTTTCAGCTTCTTAGAATTCCTCTACAACAGAGAACTTGTTTACAGTTATTTTATGATTGGGGTCCAGCCAATTTCCAGTAAATTTAGTGGTTGTTGTTGTTCTGTGCCATCGAGTGGGATCCGACTCATAGTGACCCCTCCTTGGGCTGCCGAGGCAGTATCACTACGGAAGTGGATTGCCCCATCTTCCTTCCGAGGAGTGGCTGGTGGGTTTGAACCACCAGCCTTCTGGTTAGCAGTCAAGTACCTTAGGCACTATGCTACCAGACCTCCCATAACTATAGTTAGAGCATTTTTCCTATTTTCCTTTGTCTTTAAAGGTCTTCACTTAGTTGGGAGAGGGCTTTTAAAAGCTTCCCTGGAACTACATGGCCTCAGAGAAGGGTGAAGGAGTCCTGATCCTGCCCCACCCTTCCATATCATGATCAGAGACAAGAATTAGTATCCCAATTCATTTCTTTAAGTTGGCTTAGTTATATTGAAAGGTAAAAGATAACTAAATTATTTCTTTTACTATTCTCTTGCTAAGCAGTTTTGCCATCTTTATCATAACCTATCATTTACCCAGTAAATACCAAAACCCTTCAGCAATTTTGTAACTGAACCCATTAATTTTTATTATTATTATTGTGATTTGGGTGAAGATTTACAGAGCAAATTCACTTTCCATACAGCAGTTCACATACACTTTGTCTCATGTCATTGACCACAGTTTACCAC